CGAGGCTTTAAAATACTCTGGCTGTTTGTTATCCTCCTAGAGTCACGGGGAGTCGGGCAGCACACACATTTAATGAAATAACAACAACAACACTACAAGGGGCTATATCAACACATGCCAGATTAAGAGTCCCAGATCTCACACCAGCATTTTGAGAGGGTATCTGTAAGGAAAGAACCAGGCAATTGATACAGCTCTTCATTAGATCAAGGACATTTGGATATGCTTGAGCAACGGCCTACTCGTCCTCTTGTTCCAGATAGAAACAAGGACCAAAGCAGGGCTGGTTTCAGCAGCCCCCTGCCCCCATCACCTGTGCTCTTTCCTCTGTGGGCCCCATGCATTGTGATCCTCCAGCATCCGTGCCAGGAAAATAGGTTTTCTTTCTTTCTGAAAGTCAAGCTTACCGTAAAATGAAGACCGTTTGCCTGTTACAGGAAGTATTTTTCCAGGGAGTTCTATCTGCGATGAATAAAGGTCAATGTTTCCACCTGATATCTGGCCTTTAAATAGGAGAGGACATAAAAACGAGAAGTGTGAAAGCAAGTGGAAACCACATGTTATCACAGCTGTGTGGAGTGCTTTCATTTCAGATGCTTGCCAGCCAGCCTTATCATCAGCTGTGCTCTTCCAGGATTCTCCATTCCGTTCCATTCCCTCTCATCTCCCCATTCCCCCTCCTCCCTGTCCTGCATCCTAAAACCTCCTGGAGTTGTTTTGGGAACTCTCTTCCTTCCAAAAAAACTAGGGGAAAAATTAACTTTTTGTATTTTTGCTGCTGCCTGAACCACTAGACCAAACCGCAAATGCATCTAGTGATACATTTATATTTGTCAACAGAATTCTTGCTAAATCCTTCCTTCTTGAATCTTATCCACTGACTAAGATTCTGTTCTTGCCGTAACTGAATTCTGTTTCTCAGCCTATGGAGTTGTGAAAACCCTAACTCAAATGCACTCCTCCAGATCTCAGAATCCCTATTTTTTAGCTACAGTGCTTCTTCAGATGGTTCTTGTGCATCTCAGTCTCCCCAAGCCTGATGCCACTTCCCTTGACGATACAGAGGATGATGCTTTCGCCAAAGACGTTCCCAGTCTCAGTTTGCTATTATTATGTCTCAAGGAAATGAGAGAGGTAAAAAGAGATTCTAGCTCTATTAATTTTAGATAAAAGAAATCTGGCTACAGTACACAAAATAAGAATATTTAGTCTGTATTAGTAATAAAATCAGGCCCCTACTTCATTAGATAGGAGACAGGTTCTTCACAATTTCATTGAGTAATTTCCATTTTTAATCTGGCTTTTCTGCTACAAATTCTAAAATATGTCTAAATTTTCTTGGATGTTACTAGGGCTTATTACAATAATGAATGCATATTATTTTTAAAAAGTAGTAAAGACCATACCCTTTAAACAAAATTAACAAAGTAGACATATTATTACATAATACATCAACGAAGTAACACGCACACACCCCCAACTAAGCTCTAGTTATTGCTCTCTGTCAATTTGTTAATTACACTTTCAAACAGGAAATGATTTGTGCAGGTCTTATGCTGTGCTAAAGGAAATAAATTTTTTTAATGGTATGTTACTTGATTATTAGTGTAAATTTCATCATCTAGTGATACAATTACATTTGTCAACAGTATTCTTGCTAAACCCTTCCTTCTTGAATCTTATCCACCTAAGATTCTGATCTTGTCATAGTTGAATTCTGTTTCTCAACCGATGGAGTTGTGAAAACCCTAACTCAAATGCACTCATCCAGATCTCAGAATCCCTATTTTTTTAGCTACAGTGCTTCTTCAGATGGTTTCTTTGCACAACTTGAGGCCACAAGTCTTGGGATATGAGTCTTCCAAATTTTTGACTGCAACTCCCAAATGTCTCTCCAAATTATAACTTGCAATGTGACAGAAAGATTGTATGCATGGGAATTAGTTAAACGTATTTAATGAACGTAATGTAACTTCAATTAAATTTGTTTTTAAAATAAATTATATCACCTTTTGTTTTCACATTTTGAAGTGTAGCCCACATTACACCACTCAGAAATCAAGTGAGATCCTTCACCCAAGCATACATGCACACTGCTGTTCTACACAAAGGTGTCCTCATAGTAAAATATGACTTTATTCCTAATATGTTATGGGCAGTCTTTGTAATGCTTGTACTCAGTCACTTAGGCTTCAAGAATCATGGCTCCAGGTTTGCTTGATTTTACAAACAGACCACATTTGTATTCAAGGTAGGTTTTTCCAGCAATATTTCTAAATGCTGAAACAGAAATCTGCTAGTTGGAACCCCAATTCTGTGTAGAACAAGTGTCTATGTGTGCTTCAAACATAGCTGGGTGGGCATCTTTGTTTGCCATAAGGGATATTTCCCCAGAAGTAATTTTTGAGGGGCAATATGGCTTTAGGGGACAGGGCTGGAACAACTGTGGGATAGGACTATAGTAAAGAATGGATGTGACCACTAGCTTTCTTTCTGATGCCCATTCATTCTCTCTCTCCATCTATCATCTCTCTCTCCCTCTCCCCCCCCCCCTTATTCTCATATCAGGCTACAAGGAAAGCCCTCCCTTGAAGTTGCTGATTGCTTGCACCAAGTTTAAAGTAGAAGTAAGGATGTTTTCAGCTTAAGGTCAGCTCTGGTGACTTAATGAGCTGCTACATACAATTTACTGAGCAATAGTACAGGAGTAATATTCTGTTGCTTTCTTTGGGAAATGTTTTCCATGTCCTGGTCTAACAAACAGCCTGTTATTCCTTAGGAGTCTCTCATTCAAGTCCTAACCTGGCCTGGCCCTGCCTGGTATCCAGGCTTAGTATCTGAACCAGATGCTGCCACCTTCAGAGTTTAAAGTAGACAATGTCAAGCCTTGATCAGTTTGACTTACGTAAGCAGACCTTGCCGTGAAGTATATGATGGAACCACCGGCATACAGACTGTTCAGCTGGTGGTGCGGCCTCACAGGTACACTTGACTCGAAGGAGAGACCCCCACAAGTCCACATAAGCAGCTCTGCATTCAGTGCTTTCTGAACAAATTGGGTCAATTGCATTCAGAGTCTCAAGGCAGGTGTTTTCTTCAAGGCAGGCTTGGCTGATGTGTTTTAAACACTTTGATGTAAATGCCTCGTACTTTCTCCTTTGGAAATATAAGGGAGTGTAAAGGGGGCATAAATATATAGAGATATATCCCCACTGTTCCTTTTTATTGTGAAATATACAACAAGTCAAAGGACAAATGAGCAGAGGCTAGAAGGAGAGCAATCAGGAATTTCTTATGAGAACTAAAACAAGGAATGTGAGGTAAGGCACAATTCATCCAAAGTACTGTAAGTATTTTACTTATAGTTCAAAAATTGATTGGAGGTGTGAATTACTTCAGTTCCCCTGTTGTAAGTAATGGGTTTTCAATGTACTTTATTTGGGCTGAACAGAATCAGCCTCTGAATTCTGAAGTACAGCAAATAGTAAATGGCCTGAAAGCATATTTGGGGGGAAGCAACACCTCTCCTTAAAAGAATGCATGGGGTGGAGAAAGGGTAGGAGCATGGACTGCTTACCTAAGACTATATTTATATGATTCATATTGATGAACAATTCAGATTTGCATATCTAACGTGTCCTGCAAAAGCTCTAAAGTTAGAGATTAAAAGGAAGACTTAAATCACAGTGAAAAAATAATTTTAGCATTACCTTATTCTGTACCACGGAATACTATTGTTTTTGAAAACTTAAGAAATATTACGCAGTATCATGTAAATAGATAGATTCAGTGCATTTGTGTATTTTCATATTAAGCACACCTCTGCATGCAAGCAAAAATGCATACCGACAAAGCTTGTTTTCTTGGCACGAGCTCATGACATGAACACAGGTAGGTGTTGGAACCATTTTGATGGCACATGGATGGCCATGTAAGAATTGTTTGGCTTGATGGCAGTTGTCATCCGATGGCATACAGTCACAAAATGTCAGCATCTGGGCAACCTGAAAAGGCATATTGGTATAGAAGGAGTGTAGCGCTGCACGGCATTGATTTATGTCGCAAGAGCTTCCGTTTATTTGGCACACTTGAAGATATAGAGACAATTGTTTGTTACACACTTCATCATTCACACATTCCATGTTCGCCTGGAAGCAGGATTGCGGCTGCTTGTATTCTAAGGAAATAGCAAAACAATAGAGGGTTACAAAGATCTGAGTGTGAAGCATGATCTAGTGAGCACTTAGGACTGACTCCTTAGCTCTCTCTTGACATGCTAATATCTGTCTGCAACAGCAATAGGCAACTTAAGACTCTCTTAAGATTCTTTTTTTCCCCATCTCTCAAACCCATTCTGATCACCCCCATTCTGATCACCAATGCCCTAAATGGATGGAGTCTGTTAGTGCTGGGGAACACGGAGTGGATGTTGTATTTGTACAACTGTTCGAGATCTTTCCACAGGCATTCAGCTTGCACACGTAGAAACAGAATACTAAACTAGGGAGGCCTTTGATCCAGCATGGCTCTTCTTAGAGCTGTCTATTGTTAGCCACTATTGTCATCATAGTCAATAATATGGTAAGTTAATCTCTCTTGTACCAATAAGTAGGGTATTACAACCAAGAAATCCCATTTCTCTGTTTCTCATCTGGTGGGGTTGTCAGGATCTACGCAAGCTAGTAATCATAGTTGTTTTTAATTTAGTTTAGCAATGTATATTAAATGGTTAAATGGTTAAAATGTTAAGTGCAGGCCGCTTGCTTCTTCCTGCCATTGAAGTGAGGAGAAGGGGGGAGGAAGATACCAAGCCAGGTGCTGCTGTTATCTCTACAGAGGCGCAAA